CACAAGGCACTTGGAGCTTTTGCGTGGACATGGTTGGGCGATTGTCCTGATGGATCATATATTCGACCTCTTGGAAAGATGCCATTCTCCCGAGATTTTCACATATTATTTACCTGGAGTTGCTTTCCCTGATGTTACATGGATGCTTCATTCGACTATTGATGGCAGACTTTTCTGTAGATGTTGTAACTTACCTAATCGGGGGAATACCGATGTCTTCATGAGGTCAGAACAATTGGGTTTGGCCTTCTCGTTACAGTAAGAATATTTTTACATATCACTCACTTAGAGCTTATCAGACGGTGTTCCACGAATATTCCATTTGACCACGGATGAGAGTTTCTTAAACGATGCTACATTTTGGGGTGTTCCGTTTCATTATCTTGGAAAACGGTCCGAACAACCGGGTTCGGTTCTTTTCCCTCTTGCAAGGAGTTTCTCCGAGAAAATTACGCGGCTCTACAACCAAGCAATACATATCATTCCGGAAATTCCAATCCATGATTTACTTACCAAATGGGCCGATCAATTTTTAGTTCTTACGCAAAATACTTAGACCTCCAAACCTCTAGTTCCAGTTCGGTTTTGACTAAGAGGGAAAAAATACGCATTTGGTCCAACAAAGACAATCCCGAGAGCCCGACGACGACATTTTTCCATCATTGAAATTTATTTTGGCTCCCCACTAAAGAAATGACCAACTTTAACAAACCTGAGCAGTTAAAAATTTTCGACTTGCAAACTACCTATCACAAAAACGTTTTCGTTTTGTGGCAGAAAAGTATAGATTATCTTGTGAGAAGTTTTATTTGGTGATCATGTTATGCTACTATTTGATAACGCATTTCCAAGTGCGCCTTTTTCCATCAAAGAAAAACTTATTTATTTATGTATAAGTTTTTCTCTCCGACAAAATCAATTTAGCATCGATACGGTAGGTTTTTCCGGTCACTATGTTCCTTCTGCTAGTATTCCACCCGTAATACATTGGAACAATGTCGATTCAGTAGATTTCATGTACTCTCATTCCGCAAATAATTCAGATGAACGAAGACGAAAAGTGATCAATACCAGCCGATGGTTACTTGTGTCGGTGCGTCTATAAGGAAAATCAAGCACCTTACCAAGCTAGAGCAAGGCTAGCCACAAGCTCAAGTTGCTTGCATGGTTTGGACCATGGAAGCAAGATGGCTGTAGCCTCAGCGAATCGGAGCAGATTCTGACTACTGTATATGCTAATAAGCTTGGGTCTTTCGGGGGGGGGGGGGGTGAGGGATGACACATCGCGGTCGAGCAGGTGACAATCCATCGAGTTAGCAGGTGATTTAGCGTCACTCGAAGCTAGGTTTCGTGGGATGTATTCCGAAGTCGGAGTCGACATGGTTCTCATACTACGACCAGTGCAACCGTAACCTGTACCATCTTGAACGAGAACGGATGTCACCCGGCAGCGATACATGCAATCAGACCACACAAGTAATGTGTGTAGGATAAAGCCTGCATGTTGTTTGTGTTTTGGACCCGGGCACCGGCCGCAAGACAGCAGATGACACAATTCTCCATCTCAACCAAATGTGGCGTCCAGTTCGCATTGGCTTCTAACCATACCTCAAAATTGAGGTACTTGAAGTAATGTTGTCATGGAGCAACAAGGCATCAACAAGAGTAATTTTAGGAACAAGAACCTCCCAAACGGAACTGGACGCCAAGGAACCTCTGACTCGCTAGGAAGATTTTGATGCCGTGTTGGGCAATTCTGCGTCAAATCCGCATGTGTCTGTGAGTGTTAATAATAGAGCGCTCTTCTTCTATGACCATCAGTGGATAAGTCCGCAGAATTTCTCAAAGAACCTAGCTCTCTTCTTCGCGCGGTAGCCGGGAATGGATTGAGGAGCCGAGGTGAGATATGGTGGCGGTATTGTGCGGTTGTGCCGATCTGAGATGGAAATAAAGTCCACCGCATCCCAGTTCACCTGACTGTAGCTGCGCTCCATGCCATCACGTATCAGTGAGACGGAGTGGTTAGGGAACTTACCACCAGAAGTAAAAGAATGAGGACAGGCACCACGGCAGGTTAGTTATAGGTCGCGAGCGAAGCTGACTGAAGACGCTGGCGTGCTCCAAATAACCGGCCGCTACGACCCCATGTTATCGGAGGAGCAGTACAGCCGGTTTTAGTAAAAAATAGTGGAGTCAAGAGTTATCAAAGTAGGAAGAACGTGCGGTGAACATGCTATAATCAACAGCAAAAGTTGGACAGATGAGGAACAAAATAATACGGACGTGTATGCGGCTATCGTACGAATTAAAGATATGTCAAGTGACGAACTAGGAAAGCTGACCAAGTTAGGCGGATAAGACGAATAAAAGCTGTCAGCATCAACACCACCAGATACATCCGTAGAGTGAAACAAACCATTCTCGAAGATGGTACGTTGCTACAAAGCAAGGAGTTCGAAAAATTCAGTAACTTAGGAGACTCGAATGCGATTAAGTGAGAGATATTAGGATGGTGATGCATAGTCGCATTACTCGAGTGAAGCATATTGTGGCTGGCTTGAAGTTTACGTGACAATGGAATGGGGAATGTAGAGTGCGGAATAACTAGATGACAAACGGCTGCGCATGCAGCTGTGTAGCTAACTAGCTCTGTGTCTGTTTTCGTCGTCACTTTCGGATCTGGAACCGAGATGGAAGCCACAGCTACGGTGGGAAGATAAAGAGATGGAATAGGCCATTCGTTTCGTTCAATAGTCTGACAAGCCAACTCCAGACGACGATGTATCGTTCGATCCTTCGGCCAAACAGTGGAGAGATTTGTCGCGCACTTCAAACGCCATTCTGTGGATAGATTTTTCACCGCAGAGACAAATTTGACAACGTACCTTTTGAAACGTATTTGGAGCGTACGCTAGGGGCGGCGCCAATAAGTGCACTAAATTTTAGTGCATAACTTGAGCGCGCTGTAGATTCAACTTAGCTCAAAAGCGAGTGTGGTTCGTCTGCAGTCCCACCCCAGTCAAGACTGGACTCTATTGGTGCCGCCGCGGAATCAAATAGACCCTTCATAGCACGCAATTTGACCTCTCCGATCACTCATCTGCTGAAGGGTCTTCCCTTTTTGAGTGTTTTGAGCAGATCGACTCGAGTCAGGGAGTTCGAATCGAATGCTAGTTCCAATCCATCCTCCGATCTGGGTGCGTTCGGGTAAGCGGAAGTATTCAGTTTGGAAGGACTGAATGATCTGGAAGAATCGTTTTCAAGTTGGGCTATCACTGCTTTGACTGCGCAAGTGGCGGCTAGTGTAATTTTAAACAGTGTTTTAGAACGTCTGGCAAGTCCACTGGACAAGCTATCCCCCTGAACTCCTGCACATTTGTTTCTGACCAGATTGTTGGCATGATAAAAGCTGAAATAAGGGACCGTGAGAATGCCCAGACTGGGACGAGCGAGTCTGTGTCTTGGCCGCTGCTGGCAACAACTCACAGACGTGCTTACTGGGAATCTTAGAACTACGATGATGAAGTGAAAGGTGTCTCTGCAGCTGTGGATATGTCTAGTTTAAGCGCTAACTATATGTAGGCAGATGAGTGGAAATACACGAAATAAACTGAATTCAGAGTATCCCACTCAAACGTTGCTTCTTCTCGCACATTGAAGTTTTTGAAACGAAATGATTTTGTGTGATTATCCAGCTGACTGATGTCCACTAAGAGGGTAGGCTGCAGAGCGAAGCCCCGGAGTTATGAGTAAATGAGATGAAGAGACACAAACAAATCGATAGGAGCGCTGTAAGGATAATACACGATGTCTTCTAAAGCGGATATGTTGCATCGACCACAATGGAGGTTAGATAAGTTTCCAGATGTTATGAGGTCTAAGAGTTTAGAGTTGCCTTACATACGGTGTCCTGTTGTTTTCCACAGAAATAATATAATTTTTCAGATACTAGTTGATATGGAATTATCGCCGGCGTGTTTATGCTTCCAATCGCAGTTTTCTAGGTTACTGGTAATCAATTGTATTGTGGCAGTCAGAAACATGGTGTGTCGCTTGAGTCGAAGAGATCATTCGGAAATATAGACATTTGTTATAATACGCTTCCAGTCGTACGGCTTAAGACCGAGCTAGTTTTGGCTGAAATCACAGTTTTGGTTATTTTTTCAAAACAGTGGTAACGCAATACAGATTAAGGCCCATGAGTCAGCGAGTGGGTAGCACTTATAACACTGCCCCCAGAAAATCATCAGACAGACGATTGGTGAGCGGTTACAGATAACTGCGTTCGAACTGAAAAGGAAACAAAGAAAGGGGACCGATCGCCTCCAGTAGCGAATCATGGGACTCCGTTCGTGGTCTGCTTTAAGCATACTGACTAGTCACTGTTCAAATCTAGGTTAATGGCTTACGTCACTCGTTATCAACGCCCCGTATATCCTACTCGATATGAGCATAGCTTATTTGCTACGGTTGTGGGTAGAACGAACTCCGTGTTGTCAGAAGAAAAAGGTCCTGCGATATGAAGGGGTCTTGAAAACGCCATTATTATGGCAGTGCCGCTGGGATAGTTAGGTTTAAACAGATAGTGTGGGTCACTGGATCAGTTGCGCATGCTTCATTCACAGATGGGGGCAGTGGGTGACATCACGCCCTTTCCCTATTAAGCACCGCTTCAAGAGACTCCAGAAGAAACGACCGACAGGCATTAGAAGAGTAGTGAAAAAGAGAGGAGCAGAAAAGCACCACGATTTCGTAGAAGTGAGTGGAAAAGGGCTCATCAGTCAACGATAGTACCAGTAAATCTGAGCTGCTGGAAAGGACCAGAAGCTGAGTGCAAAAGAAGGCACGAGTAACTTGTGATGCCTCGAACGGAGGACAGGAACCTGACTACACAGAGGCTGTAACAACAGTTCGCGTGGATGCAAATAATCTGCGGGTGACTGCTCGATATGCACAAGGTGGGCGTAAGTTTTCGGAGCGTGCAGAATTCCCCTGTTAAGAGACATTGAAGTGAGACATAGTAAATGTAGTTCTATACTCTCGCTAGTAGCACAGAAAGAGATGCGTGAATTAAGGCCTCATAAAAAATAGAAAAGGTGGCGCAAAACGTGTTCGAAAGGGAAGAAACAATCTGCGAGTAAATTTAATGGAAGTGTTCTTCAATCGGTACTTCACGAATTTCAGATAGTCCCCTGTAAAACAAGAGACAGCAGTTAAATTGATTGATATAGACAACCTTCACTCAGAGGATTGTAGAGATTACCGCAAAACTCAATCACAGCATAGAATACTGCCTGAACTGTAAACGCGGTAAGAGTATTGGTAACAAGCGCAATGAGAGAGAGTGAATCGAGTTATTAATGTTTTCAATGAAACTAGTTCAGGTGAATTTTGAGCGAGTGGCTTCAATTCCCTAATGCTTCCGTTGGAATATATCATGGTTAATATTCATGAGCAAGAAATAGGAGGCGTTACAGGCGTGTCTTGTTAGTAATCGAGAAAAACTATTATTATTGAGCTGTGATCATTATTGGTATTATAAATAAATCATACGATAAATCAGTGACACGCGATGAACAAATGAAAGTGAGAAAAAATAAGACCCAAACAAGCACAGATACCAGAGCTGATAGAGATAGACCACGGGTGTTTATATAGTAATTTTGCTTCTGGATCCAGTGCTCTGACTTTAGTAACTGCTCTACTCGAGATTGGCACTGGGGCAGTATTTCACCAACCGTTTTAATTTTTCTCGGTAATATTATTTAAGGATCTTACGTTCGTACTATGACCAACTAAAAAAGTCTCTATGTTAGCTTGTCAGCCACTTCAGCCTTCCGGTTCCACAGCGATAGGAGGAGAGAGCCGATCATTGCGGGGCACCCAAATTTGCAAATACTAAGTTCCGTGAGCGAAAAAAGGTCGATTACAGGACAAAATGGTTCCTGTTATAGTGAGCTCCGCGACATGTGTTCCCAGACAGTGCACAGCAGCCTGAAACCACTCGGCTAATCCAAATCAAAAAAGCCACTAGGTGGCAATCTTCCTAATATCTTCAGTCCGCATAACTACCTTCCTTAATCATATGGTGACACTGACAAAACTACATTGATATGTAACTTAGCCATGGGCGGTAAGGGATATTCCCTCAATTCTGCAGTTACCAAGCCACTAGAAAAGCCGCATGGATCTTTTTGAAGCGCTTAGCAACATCGTCTGTGGTTTGACAATCAGAGGTGGTGTATCTAATTGGATAGGTGAACCGGCAGAATACTTCGGAAAGCAAGCAATGGGTAATCTTTGTAGGATTAACCCAGCCCGCTGGGGTTAACATCCACCTTACATGTTAGTGGAGAAGTAGCGGTCAAATTGGCAAAACTGTCGAGCGAGTTATGGACATGATTGACAAGTGAGTACCTTCGAAGGGAGGTGCCACGTTTAGGATGTGGAAGAGACACTCAAAAAGGTATGGTAGAACAAAGGTCGTGTTCCAGATTGAGCAACAATTCTGCGCTGACTTGCGTCATACGTAGCCGGTAGAAGTGTTAAATTTCGCTCCGAGGTTATTCCCTGCCCGTCAACACCATGGAAAGCGACTTGGGCAGTTCCGCCTAGAAGCGGTGTTATATACATGGAGAATGTATTCGATGCTGCCGGCACACTAACTATCGATCTGGGAGAGGCTTCGTAATTGGTTTCTGACTATAACAGGCTGTTCACACAAGAGTTCAGATCGCTCGTAATGACCACAAAGTTCTTACTATCAGACAAATGAACGAGGAACGAAAATCGCTTTTTGAACGTTTCTCCGATAACCAAACAAACATAGAGCAGTAAAACAAGAGAGACAGTCATACGCCTATCGATCCCGGCTGACATCTGTAATCGAACTGAAAATACATTTAGTTCTCTTCAGATGGGACTTTAAAATTTTGCCATTTCTTTTGTTATCTGGACATTATTCCATGCTCCTAACTGCGGAGTTTTTCGTCTTTGGAAAATTAGTTCAACATTTAGTTGAGTGAACTAAATTTATAGTCAACAATGCTGTCCTACGCTGTTGCTCCTTGGAACTGGCCCCATGAAGCTGTACGAAAGTCACCTCTAATCGAACATAGCCACAGAATCAGAAAGAAGTTCAAAAAATTATCAAGAAAATTTTGTGGGAGAAGAAAACTCATGGTGAGACAGCCAACTGGACCTATCTGGCAGACGAGGCACTAGCTAGTGCATGGGAACATCTTGTCAGCCAGTTTAACGCTATGGTTGCCGAAGCATCAGGGACTAAGAACTTCCACCCGAGAAACGTGGTCTCGTTTCTGCGAAGCAGGACACGCAAGTTTATAGCGGTGCGAAACTCAGCCTGGCATATCTACAAACTCTCCCTAGGGCACCGAGAACTGGATGGCCTAGGCGACCCAAAGTAACCAATGTACTCAGCTTGTTCGCGATGATAGAATGGCGTACCAGCAGAAGTTGGCAATGCGTATGGCCCCAAAGCACAAGCTTCTGTATCAACATGTCAATAGTTTACGTAAGGTGAAACGGGGAATTCCCCCTTTTCAAAGAGCGGATGAACCAATGCGGACATCGAAAGAGATGGTGAATACCCTGCGCCTACAATATTCTGCAATATTTCTGTGCGATCAATGGTCAATAAACCTTATGGCAAGAGTTGTTTCACCCACGAAACTCACTCACATATGCCTCACGGCAGAAGCTGTAATAAAAAAGCTGTTGAGCATTCGCAAGCACAGTTCTCCTGCAGCTGATGATATACACGCAAAATCACTAGCGGAGGTATGGGAGAGTTTAGCTGAGCCTTTGATTCGATTCTTCCAAGACTGTTTTGACGAAATGTACGTGCTCGACATGTGAAAACACGGGATGATTACTCCTATTCACAAGGGATGTTTTCGTTCCGATCCAGCCATGAACATTTATTTATGGCGATGGCATGCATGGTTCAGGAACCGAGCAGTACAGCAATACGCCAAGATGGGACGAAAGTCCAGGAGGAATAGGAAACAATTGTCAAAATAAAACTAGAGGCACTTGGGGCGGAACTGCTGTCTTTGTCACAGTAATTAGATAATGATTGTTTAAGTAAAGTTGGAGTAAGCCCCTCGCATATACGCAACGTAAACACTCAGGGAGTGTCAATTGTCGAAACACCGATATCGGATATACCAAATTTGGTCAGTCCTAATGAAGAAAGATTTATGCGGACGCCGGATGTATTAAACCACTATTGTTAATAATAATCAGTCGGTGAACGATCCCGCGTGATTTTGGTAAGTGAGCCTGAATATATTGCGATGTTGCTGAAGTATTTGCGCCCGCCCCGTATTTATCCATTTTATCTGGTATGTAGGCTCCAAACGACCGGCGTCGCAGATCGCTATAGTCAGAACATTTACAATGGAATCTTTCAGAATTAGGATGTCCGGCTTGAAAAATGGCATGGGGGTTAAAATCCGTGGTTCTGGGATAACGCAAGCACCCCTTTTCCGCAAGACTTTGACAACCTGTTGGGCCATAACATTATAGCGTTTACAGCGGGCGTCGTGAGTTATTTCGCAGGATTGCAGTACGTGGAATATTGTTGTCTTTTGCCCGCATTTTCGCGACAATTAATAGAAGAGGTATCTGGAGGAGGGCGACCTCTAGCTCTAGGAGCCTTTATTGATAGAAGACCCCCACGTAATTGAATTCTTAATGTAATCGTAATTCCTAATGTTCGTAACGTACACCCATCTGCTGAGCTCAGGACAACTTCTTTCCAAGCTGCCGCCGCTGTGGCTTTATCCATTACGACATGATTGCCAACGTAAACAGGAGAGTTTGCAAGTCAATGGATGGTAGCGGCCGCCGGATCTCGAATCACCCAACTAGTAATGGGATGGGAAATAACAAGATGCCAGTCCAAGTGTGTTTTCCACAATAGCGGTATGTTAATAGTTAAGGATGGAATGCCTAGCCCAAAATACCCGATAGAGGCGTGCAAGTACGCTATTGATGTAGCCGCTGGTAAGCGTAGCCATTCGAGGACATAGACTCTAACCAGTCTATCCATGTGTTTCAAGGTATTCTGGTGTACCACAGAGAGACAGAAGGTATGAATATGGCAAAGAATGAAAAACGTCCGGAAAATATCCACTCGTTGATACAGTTTAAGGGGGGGTTTATTGACCTTCTCCAGTTGTTTGCGGATTTCATCCAAAGAGAAGGAAATATTTTCTTTTCCAGTCAAAAAGAAGACCAAGCGATGTGAAACGTGCATCAGGTTGTATCGATGGAATTAATAAGCTTCCACAGTTAAGGGAGGACATGTCAATAACTGTTAATTTCTCTTTCCATCCACCATAATGTTCGCAGCAGCAGATTTTAATTGATTAATAGATAGACCGAGTAGCTATAGGCGTACGTGAAAACTATCTATGTGGTTCTCCAAGGCCGTTATATTTTCGGCAAAAATGATGACGTCCTTGGCATAAGCCAGGTAATCGACAGGCCCTGCTGGCGATAACCAACTAGTGTCTGCTACTCCGTGGGGCGTTTCATCTAGTGTCATGATAAAAAGTTGGGAGAATGGGGGTTGCCCTACCGAACCTCCCGTTTGGAATAAAGACTTATTCCGTTAAATGTTAAGATAGTAGATGAATAATAAGACCACAAGTATCTTAGGAGAAATTGAGGTGCGCCAAATGCAATAGCTGCTCGCAGCAATGAGTGATGAGAAACTGAATCAAAAGCCTTCGAGATATCCACCACCGAAAAAGAGAGGGGAGTACAAGAAGAATACGAATGGCGAAGAACAGAGTGTACAATCGCGTTGGCCTCGAAACATCCGTCTTTACGTAAAAAGCCGAATTGTAACCAATCGGATGAAAATGAAGGAACCCAACAAGCAGAAATTATACGGTGTAGTATACGTGTGAACACCGACGCGACGGAAATAAGACGAAAGTGTTCCGGAGAGGTCGGTTTTGAATTCTTGGTCATAAAGGTGATCCTGACAGCGTTAATATGTGAAGGAAAAGGAGTGGAAGCGAGCAGACAATTAAGGAAAGCAGTAACGAAAAGTGGATCCATTTTCGCTACGTCCCTTGGCGTAATGCGATCGATTCCCGGTGCGCTGCCTTGCATGTTTCGTAGCACTATCTGCATTTCGTCTTTCGTAATTGGCTTT